CCACCGGGTCAGGGACGCGAACCGCGGTCGACTACATGGGAGTCCAGTGACATAGCCATTACGCTAACTGCTGGTCCCATATTACTTTTTAAAAAATAATTATTTTATTTAACTTTATTTATTTTAATTTGCCCAGAGAGGGACAGAGTGAGAGTGTGTGCACATGCACACGCGCGCGCGAGAGAGAGAGAGAGAGGGAGAGAGAGAGAGAAAGTGAGAAAGCAAACCTCCAAGCCTGAGACTTGAACCACAGTTGGCCATGTGTGAGTTCAGCACCCTTAACCACCACACCACCTGCCAGCCCCCATATTACTTTTAATGAAAGTTAACAAATGGCAAACGTGTTCCAACTTTGTAATGTATTTTTCCCTGTATCTTGAATGTGCTTTTAATTTAGTAGGGCATTAAATTCTATAAAATGGATGGGCAGGACTTCAGAAATGACCAGGTGAGAAGCTCAACAAATCTTTTCCTCATAAAGTAACGATAAAACTTACAATTATTATATGTCAATAATAAATAAACAAATAAATATTTTTAAAGTAATGATAAAAACTAACAAAACAGTCAACAAACAGCCACTGGAATACTCTGGAATTTGACCAAAAGATATACAACAGATTAAGGAGTTACTGAAGAACATCTACTAAAAGGAAATCAGTGAAAATGGTGTAGTAAGGACCTCTGAAAATTTTCTCCTCCATAAAAGCAATGAGAAAACTGGTAAAAATTGTCAGAACTATTTTTTTTCATAAAGCTGAAAATTATTTACCAATTCGTTTAATAACCTAGTTGTAGGAATGGTTGTTAAGTGAGGAGTGCCTATAATTAAAAAAGCTAGATGAAGGCTACATACAAATTTTTTTTATTGGGGCTGGCAGGTGGCATGGTGGTTAAGGCACTGGACTCTCATATGGCTGACCATGCTTCAAGTTCCACACCTGATGACTTGCTTTCTCACTTTCTTCTCTCTTTCTGTCTCTCTCCGGTCAAAATTTAAAAAGTAAATAATAATAATAAATAAAATTAATCTTTCAACAAAAAATTTATCTGTATCATCTTTGCAACTTATTTGTGAATCTAAAATTATTTCAGTGATTTAATTGATGGTCTGATATATGATAAAACAAATTCTCCTGATATTTCCATATGTTAGAAAGTTTTATAATATTGAAAAAATGCTTCAAATATTTTTTCTAGTAATTTGGTACTTTCATTATTTACATTAGAATTTTTCCTTAAACTGGAATTTATTTAGTACAAGCCAGGATGACGGACATGCATGCACACCTGAAATCTACAGGGAGACCTCAGGAAGCAACAAGGGACCTTCACACATGGCCACAGCATTGCAAACATTGAGTTACTGCTGCACCAATGTGGGCTGGCCCTTCTTTGGTTCTTACTAGAGATATGACAACTATCTTTTTTTGAGAGAGATTTTTGCTATAGGGTGGGTGTGCTCTCCAGAGAGACAGACAGAAAGCAAGAAGTCACCCCCACCCAGGGAGGATGGCCCTGCCACAATCCCTTCACCTCCATTATCTTATCAGGATTATGGACACACACACACACACACACACACACACACACACACGCCCAGCAAGAGTTTTAAGCCATCAGGTTTGGGACTCGAACCATGGTCGACTATGTGGGAATCCAGTGACATAATCATTATGCCATCTGCTGGTCTCAACAATTATCTTTATCATTGTGTACTTGAAAGACCATCATTAAGTCATGTTTAACCTTCCATTTTAAACTTAATTTTCATTATATGTTTTATTTCCCCAATCTTTATCTTCAGAACTCTTTTCTAAATCCTCATTAAGTTTCTCCTGAAAATTTTATTAATTATACAAAAATTCTTACTTACAACAAGTTCCAAAACACCATCTCCTTCATCAGCATTTTCCATCACAGTGGCTCCCA